TTCAATAAATGGTTGAACAATTTAAATGCCGAATACCAGAATGATTTTTAATTTGTCAGTATTACTAAATGTTCTAATAGACAGATTATCTAGTTCTCTGCATTAACAAGTATCTGACACATGGAAACAAGAACATAACCCTATCTTTTTCCACAGGCAGAGAGAAAGAGCACATCTGCCCCATTGTAATACTATCTTTGTGACTCAGCTGACTGCTCAAAAACATTGGATTTAATAACTTCATCTCACTGACTTAACATTTTAGTCAGTTTCACTCACTGCCTCAAGAATTCAACTTGACAAATAAACCCCAAGCTTCTGCCAGACATTTTGGAAATATGCTGCATCATTTGAATGTGACCTGTGTCCAGGTCTGAAAATCAGATATCAAAAGTGATGAGGCATCACAGACACAGAAAAAAAAATCTATATTTCTGTCCTGGTGTTTGAAGAGGTTTTATATTTGTCTGCCTCCCTCCTTTTCCATACTCTTGCTTAGAATTCTGAGCCCTATTTATGTTATGTTTTCCCACTATGTCACATTTAATTAACAGTAACCCTAATAAGAGAGGCATCACAGACACAGAAAAAAAAATCTGCACCGCTTATTGTGCATGTGAACAAGTGCAGCAGGTGCCCCGCCTCCCTCCTTTTCCATACTCTTGCTTAGAATTCTGAGCCCTATTTATGTTATGTTTTCCCACTATGTCACATTTAATTAACAGTAACCCTAATAAGAGCTTTCAAAATAAGTGAGATGTTTAAGGAGTGGTTTTGCCAGTTCCACACACATACACCTGTGAGTTTCCTTGGCCAAGCAGGTATTTGAACCAAGGTCTCTGTCACTCAATCCATTGCACAACATCCCATTTATACCTGCCTCAGGATTTAACAGACACAGAGCTTGGAAAGTTACTTTTTAGTAGTTCATTATGCAGCTCATTATAAAGCAACTTCTCTTAACTGTACAGAACCTTTTAAGTGGCTTGCTCTATTACTGCTTTTTTTTGTTCCTTTAAAACAGAGGTCCCCAACCCCCAGTCCACGGCCTGGTGCTGGTCCATGGCCTGACTGGGCTGTGGAGAGAGACCTCCCCCCTGCATGCACTCCCCGCCGCACAGCCTGTTTGCGCCTGTGCATGAGCCCGCACGAGCGTGCGCATGCCCGCATGAATACTGCGCCGCTCATTGTGCATGTGCACGAGTGCAGGGGGTGCCCCACCTTCCCAAGCTGGTCCGCGGGGCTAAAAAGGTTGAGGACCGCTGCTTTAAAAGAAATACTCACATTAAGAAGCACAAAAATAAAAAAAAAATCCACTTCAAATTACTCTAAATGGATTTTTAAAATTGCCATGTACTAACATCACATTTGGCTGCCTAGAAAGTCCAGTGAGTTAGAACACCTGGGTTGGGAGTTCAATTCCCCACAGCACCTCCTGGAAGAAGAATCAGCTTGTATAGTCATAAGTAGAGACATATACAAATATCCCCATGCAGCAGGAGTTAACAAGGGTCTGGCTTCTGGGGCCGGACTGGCCACTCACACATTGGGTGGCAGCAGTGGCCCCTCTCTTACTTCCAGTTGCTCTGGAGCACCGCTCGGCTAGCCACTTGGCAGCCTTGCAAGGAGACTTGTTCTCCCTCCCACTGCCAGGAGTGATTAGATGACCAGGAAAAGAATGGCACCCGGGTGCGATTTGAAGGATGAGCGGGGCTGCTGGCGGCAGTGGATGTGTGAGTGGATGGTCAAGCCCCAGGAGTCCAACCCTCATTAACTCCAGCTGTGCAGGGATATTCATACTTGTATACAAATACCTCCATCTCTAGTCACGACTGCTGTATACCAAAAACCTTGGGAAAGTTTCTCTAAATTGGAATCAAGCTGACAGCATGTGATTATTCAGAAAAAATCAACAGCATGTTTGCTAGTTCTATCCAATTTGTTCCCCTATAACTCATGCCCTCATTTCCTGCTTACCTCTGAGCATTATCTCTGTCTCTGCCATGGTATAAAACATATTCAATTTCAATGGATTTGTTAAATCTTTCCATATATGAAGATTTATCTGTAGTGAACACTGTTTTAGGTTCTAGCTGTTGTTCATATTTGTGTCAACAGCACCATGCTGTGGCTAGATACATAACTAGCATGTAATATTTTCTCAAGCTTACTGAGATACAGTGGACCCTTGACTTACAGACGGCTTGACTTACAGACTTTTTGAGTTACAGACTTCTCTGGCCGCAAAATTTAGGTTTGACTTACAGCCTGAGATTTGACTTACAGACCAGAAAAAAACCAAAATGGAACAAAAACGGCCTGTTACGGGATTAATCGGTTTTCAATGCACTGTAGGTCAATGGAGAGTTGACCTACAGACTTTTTGACTTGAGAACCGCCTTCCAATACGGATTAAGTTCTCAAGTCAAGCCCCCACTGTACATTTCTAGCACAAGACATATTAAAAGATTACAATTTCTAATTTCTAAATTGGGAGACCCAATAATTAATCTGTGGATCTTACATTAATAGAGCCTTGTGACACTACATCTTTTCATTCAATAAGACTACCTCCCCCGCCCCGGAACAGCATTTCATACTGAACATTTTAGTGTTACTAAGACAAAGAGTAGGGGCAGGGTGGCTTTTGCTCTTCAAATGTGTAGAACTTCATCCCCCAGAAGGAAAGGGACATAGTCTTCTGGCATTAAAGCAGCAAGAGTGAGAAAGTGGAACAGGTTTTAAAAATTTAACTGAAAGAAAAGAATGTTTTATCCGGTTAGCACTTCTTCTCTGAACAAAGACAAAACATCCAAAAACAAACAAAAAACCTAAACTCCCTGGCTAATAAAGAAATTACCAAGCTGCAAGACACCAACTGCTTCAAACAAGCACTTGAAGACTGGAAGACTTTAAATAACAAAAACACTGAACTTTTACCCATGTGACAGGTCTACAATACAGCACAGTGACAGCAAAACTGGCTTTGTTTCACATATGCAGTCATGCAGTTACAAATAAGTCCGTGTGGCAGCGGGCGTGACACAATTTTCCTGTGCCAAAAGTACGTAATACCACAGCAAACAAGAGGCTCTTGATATGATAGCGTCATTCCAATGAGGTTGTTATCTGCTCGCAGCCTACCATAAGAATGCATATGCTAAATTAAGCCATTTGTAGGTCCAACAGTCTTATGGAACACAAAGTGAAGAGAAAAACAAGGCCCATGATCTCTGTATAAATATTTTTATTGTTTAAAATGGACATCCTACAACCAACATTTCCTTTAATTTTCAGCCCTGCTGGGCAGGGCTGTGCCCCCGGATGTGTGCATGATTCCCCTCCCCACGCACAGAGTTCTGTCATAATTGGAACAAAAGGTGCTCTGTAACTCAATTCTGACTTATGGTGACCCTTTTTAGGGTTTTCTAGGTAGAGAGTACTCACAAGTGGTTTACCATTTCCTTCTTCTGGGGGCATCTTGGAACTGTGCAGCTTGCTAGCTTTTCTGGAATCCACAGCAGGGAACTGAACATCTAACCTCTGGTTCTGCAGCCAGATACTTAATGAGCTATCCAGTCAGTTATTTCATTCTAATAGCAGCTATATAATTTTATACTGAGCTCGCTACTGTAGAACTCATATGCAATACTGTAATTACAAACTCACATTTTAATTTTTGGAAGTCTTGGCTACATGCTTTTCATTGATAATGGCAAAACAATTTTCTGGAAACAAGGAAGACCACATATAGTCTTATGGAAATATGGGACAACCTTCAGAAATTGAGAGAATTATGAAATCACCTTTCCTGCAGAACATAAACTCCTATTTGAACCCCAATTAAAATAGTGATTTGGGAAAGCTGGTAACAAATCTGATTACAGAAAAGGTAAACAAGGATTTGGAATTTTTACCAGTTTCTTTATCCCTGTAGCCCAGGAACAGACCCCCAAACTGATGTGCAAAACCTTTAGATTAGAGATGGGGGTATTTGTATTCGAATATGAATATTCCCATGCAGCTGGAATCTGGCCCCTGGCGTCAGACTGTCCACTCACACATTCGGTGTCAGCCCCTCTCTTCCTTCCAATCACTCCGGAGCACCACTCGGCTAGCCACTCAGCGGCCTTGCAGGGAGACTCATCCTCCCTCCCTCTGCCAGGAGTGGCTAGATAAGCGGGAAGAGAATGGTGCTCAGGAGTGATTGGAAGGATGAGTGGGGCCAGTGGCAGTGGTGGGCGTGTGAATGGATGGTCTGGCCCCAGGGGTGCAACCCTCGTTAACTCCAATTGCGCGGGGATGTAGTTGTATATGAATATGAATACCTCCCTCTCTACTTTAGATATATCACACTGGAATTGTGAGAAAGAAAGTTTTAACATCCACAGGAAACAATAACAGATCATTATTCTTAATTGGGGACAATGTGAATGGAAGTGCAAACTCTGTTATTTATGGACCATGCAAAAGGCATAAATAAGAAAAAACAAGACTTAAACCATTGTTCAGAAGTCAGAAGGGCCTAATTAAAAACAATTCTGCATCACTTTAGAGATGAGATAAATGTAATTGCCAAAGTTTGCACACTACTAATAAAGAACATGCATATGGCTGTTTATATAACTAAACTCTATACAGTTCAACAGTCAGACTGACTTTAAAACTTGAAAAGCTTGAAGGCTGTGCAAAAGTTTAAGGAAATATGCTGTAACACATACCAGGCCAAGGGTAGATGTTTTGACTACAATGCCCATAAACCCTAGACAGCATTGCCAATAAGAAGAAATTGTGGGAATGGAACTGAAAACCTCTAAAGTTTGCTAATCCGTGTCTTAAGGTTCCTTTTTACTGAACAATAAACTATTAACACAAAGTTTCTTCCTTTCTCTTCTATCCCACCACAAGAGGGCATCCACGACATAACTTTGCCTATAAAAAGGCATCTTGTTGAAGATCTGGGACATTAGAAACTGTTTTAAATAATAACTGCATCTACATCAAAACAAAAGCAATAGGAAGTTTATTATACTTCATCTTCTAAATAAGAAAACATAACCAAGTCCCTGCTGTCACAGATGCTGTTCAAGACCACTGGATAAAACTTTGTTGCAGAAGTCCATGGCATTCCTTAATTTAAAATACAGTGTAGTATTCTTCCATGGTAGTGACTATATCACTGTTTGTCTCTAACCAGTCCAGGAGGCAACGGACCACAGATTCTGTGATGTAAGGGCAGTAGCTTTGCTGAATACAGTTGAGAATGTGACGGAAATGGCAGCCCTTTTCAGCATCTACAGACATAAAACAAATGTGGAAAGATGTCTATACGGACACTTATTCTCTCTCCGCCTTCACGTATAAACACAAACTTCACGTATAAATGCAGAATTTTGAAAATCCCTTTAAGACTTTCTTGAATGAACTGGATTGTTTACACATTAGTTGCCACTGCCAACCATGCACTGATAATTAAAAGGAGGCTTATGACTGCATCCCTCCCATCTTCCTCAGGGACATGAAAAACACTGGCTGGTGACCCCCAATACTACATTTTAATGGAGCCAGAGGTATGGGGAAACCAAAAATATCAAGGCCAGACAGCAAAGAATCAAACCAAATTTGATTTCACCAGCAGTGTGAAGCTGCCCCTTGCAGACAGCCAGCCTGGGAAAAATGAGACAAGCATTCTGAAACAACTTTTCTGGATACTGGCTCAGAGGTTTACCACTGATATCTCTTAACTGCTACATTTCCTTCTACAGATACCCCAACTGTAGGCATTTCCCATAAATATTTACTCATATTCTGAAAGATTCATAACACTAAATGAGAACCAGTGTGAATCAAAAGTGAGTTTGTCTCATTGTAGAAACCAAGAACCTAAGTGAAGCATTATAACAAGATAGGTAATACGCATACTCTCCCTTCCTTGCTCCAGTAACAGTGGCTATTTCTACCTCCCTATGACAGTTATTTTACTTTAGTGTGTGAATTATACATGCCGGGAATAATTTAATTTGCACAGGTAATACATGTGCCAGTGTTCACAATCAGGGAACTGATCATACTTACATTTTGGTCTCTTGCAATCAGATCTGAGGATTTCAAGTGTCATCTTATGCAATTCTGTATCCTGTTCAGTCACCTGGAAGACACAGAGGAGATCCCTAAATCAAAGCAATGTATATGTGTGTGTTGAATTTATAGCTCACTTCTCTTAAAAAAATGAGACTCAAGGGTTACTCATCAAAAAATTGAATAAATACAGCTAAAGCCCAAAACAAAATTCCAATATAAAAACACAAATATTTAAAAAGTTAATTTAAAAGCACTTTGCTTAAAAGAAAATAACAGTATCCACTAAAAAAAAAGCCCCTTCAGGTATTGGTCATTGTCAAAAAGTCTGCTTGAATGAAGTGGTCATTTCCTGGTGAAGAATAAATAGGGAGGAGGCCAAAATAACTTCCAATGGCAGGCAGTTCCAGTAATGCAGTGCATTTATAACATATGAAGAGTAAGAGCCAGGCTTCCAGTTAGAAAGCAATGTATTTTCTCTCAAGAAACAATAATGGCAAATAACATTTCAGGGTATGTTCTTCAACATGCAAAGAGGTTCTACAATTAGAAGTGTCAATTCAAAATTATCCCTCCTTTCCGAGGCTATGGCAGAACAGTGATGTTTTGCTCCAGGGCTTCTATTTATTCACCCCACCTTCTATATTTATGTATGCAAACATTTTTAGTACAAATGACAAAGTTAAAGTTCTACCATGTATGCTAGGTCCTTTGCATGTAGCAACAGCATACTAGCAGCATATTCCAAGCACATTTAAATGTGACAGGACACATGGTAAGCTACATGGGAAAGGGCTTTACCCCCCTCTCCCTCAGGTCATCCTCTCATCCTACCAGTACATTCCAATCCTTGATGCAGTGGATGGCCATTCCAAAAGAGGGACGGAAGTCATCTAACTGGGCCTTCTTGGTAGTGGCTGCCCCACTCTGGAACTCTCTTCCTGCAGAGCTGCGATCGGCCCCCACCCTCCTGAGCTTTCAAAAGCAAGTTAAAATCTGACATCTCATCCAGGCCTTTACACGCCTCACCCTTTTGTAATAATAATTTTGTAGTAAGTTTATGCTGGCCTGTGGTTTACCACTTTGAGTTGTGGGCTATTTGATAGATGTGAGTAACACACTCTACTGTCCAGGGGTCTTCCATTTCTAACAAACCCTATCCTAGAGGAATGTCTTCTTCCTTTACCTCCTTTCCTTTTCCCCCCTCCTCCTCCTTTGCCACCTCAGTCTTCCAGTCTAGCTCTCCTTCTCCTTCCCCTTCTCCTGAGCCCGTCACCAGATATCCCACCACTATTGGCTCCTCCCTTTTCTCGCCTTCCTCTCATTCTTCTTTCCTGTTGTTTTTCTCCTCTTCCCTCTGTTTTTCTCAGTTGGGCCACTGTTGGTATCAGCATATACGCTGTTTTGTATCCCTCTGTTGTGGACCACTTTGAGTTGTGGGCTATTTGATAGATGTGAGTAACACACTCTACTGTCCAGGGGTCTTCCATTTCTAACAAACCCTATCCTAGAGGAATGTCTTCTTCCTTTACCTCCTTTCCTTTTCCCCCCTCCTCCTCCTTTGCCACCTCAGTCTTCCAGTCTAGCTCTCCTTCTCCTTCCCCTTCTCCTGAGCCCGTCACCAGATATCCCACCACTATTGGCTCCTCCCTTTTCTCGCCTTCCTCTCATTCTTCTTTCCTGTTGTTTTTCTCCTCTTCCCTCTGTTTTTCTCAGTGGGGCCACTGTTGGTATCAGCATATATGCTGTTTTGTATCCCTCTGTTGTGCAGGAGGGGACGGCTCTTTTCTATTGAGAAGTGGTTCCTTTTCACATTAGGCCAGAAGTTCTGTAAGAGGTTTTTATTTTTATATGCTCAGTTTTAAAATTCTGTTGTTTACTCTTGTTATTTTCTGGAAGCCACCCAGACAAGTGGCTGCTTGACTAAAAGGGCGGGATATAAGTCCAAACAAATTTTTTAAAATTAAATGTATATACCATTTGTAAATCAGGCTTTTGGGACTTACATAATACATGTCCTTAAGATTCCTTGATTTCTGGAAAAGAACACCCATATTCTGCAGCACCTTTATTGCTTCTGCGAAGGAGTTTCTAATTAGTTTAGAAGAGAGATCTGTTTTGGAATCCATCTGAGTGTAAAGAAATACATAAGAAAAGGCATCTTTAAATAAGGAAGGCCTGCATATCAAATGAATTTCTGGATTGGTTATTTGGGTCTGGTAGAGTAAAAAAGCACCCATCGGTTCTCCCCTCCAAACAGCAAATGTTTTGCCTATTAAACTAAAAAGAATCAAGCAAATATCACTTTAGCCATTGTAATACAGTATATTGCTATTGTGCCTCGACGTACGACCATAATCTATTCCAGAAAATGGACGTAACTCGAAACGGTCGTAAGTCGAAGCACCATTTCCCATTGGAATGCATTGAAATGCAATTAATCTGTTCTGGCTGAAGAAAAAAAATCACAAAAAAATCACTGCAAGACTCATTGAAAACACATTTAATCCCTTAATTCCCGAAGGGGGGGAGCAATCAAGCATGCAAGACCCATGGGAAATGCACAGAAAACAAACAGAGCTGATTGGAAATGCACAGCTAACAAAGGGGCAGGTCAGAAATGTAGAGAAAACAAAGGAAAAAGCAAGGGAAGCATGCAGGACCCATCAGGCATGGGGAACCCTCCCAAAAAAGCAACCAAAACCCCCCAAGACCCATCGGAAATGGGGGGAACCCCAAAAAGCAACCAACCCCAAGACACATTGGAAATGGGGAGAAAAAAACAAACAAACAAATCCCCCAAGACCCATCACAGTACAGAAACATAACCCCCCAGCCCAAAACCATGCTGCAAAAATACCCAGAACAGTTTTTAAAAAGCAGAAAGCAGCACCTTACCATGCAGCCCGATGCCTCCCTGCAAACACACACACACGCTCAATAAGAAGCAGAAACTAGGCAGTCCCAAGTCTCTGACAACAACACACACTTTCTAACTGCTGGGGTGAAAGAGCTACAAAGAAGCAGCCTCGTCACCACCTACAGTTAGAAATTTCAATTTACCACCTTTTCCCCCTGTCTTTTTCTGTTTTTAAGTGAAAGGTCCGGTCGCAAGTAGAAGCAAAATTTTGCAGCCGGAGCTGTCCGTAACTCAAAATGATTGTAAGTAGGAACGGGTGTAAGTCGAGGCACCACTGTATGCAAAATGAAATGAACTCAAGAGTAAATAGAAGAGACAACAGAAAGAGTTTTGCTTTCGTCTAGTACATCAATACAATCTTAAGACAGTTTAATTAGGAAGCCCCCTTTATAAGCTGACATGAAGCACAGCTTGGATAACACCTGAAACAGAATTACTAATGACAAACTTCTTAAAGCTGACAAGAAAAAAAATTACAACACATGATGTCTGCTTGAAGTGTACGAGTAGAACTTCTTGAGAATTCAAACACCTACATGTTTTATTAACCTTATTCATTAGTTGAAATATTGTTGTGATGCTGCACTTGGGTAACTCAAAATTACATGTGGTAGCAATAATGGCACCAAGGCAGAAGCAAGTTCACAAAGCAATTGAGCATACATTCAGTGCAGCTACAGCTGTACATGAAGATCAAGCAAGGAAATCTGACCAGTGTCCTAAGCAGCTCAGAGTCTGGAAAGCAATCTATGTTACATATTTAAAAATTCCATTCCTTCTCCCTTTTCTTGTTTTGCCCCTGTTCAGCAGGATCATAATCTTTGACATCATTCTCCCTCTCAGCACAGTATTCACTGAGCAAGATGTTCCCATTTTCTTCCTCAACCCCTGCCCCAAAGCAAAAAAGAAACAAGCCTTCTTAGTTTAATTGAAACAGTTCCTTGCTTTTCCCACAGGAGGTCTTGTGAAACTCTTCACCCAACTGGGAACTGCTAGACAAATACTGGTGTAAGTAGATATCAATTATTATTTTTTTTCTTTGCACTTCCTAAGAACTAAGAAAAGCAGAAAGAAAAGCCACAAAGAAAAGATTAGCTTTTCTTGGGGTGGGAGGGCTGGATCAGCAACTACCCCACAGAGGTATAACATACCTAGTTAAGCAACGGGCATAATGCCCTGCAATCTCCCACAAGCATAACTTTGTATTATGCCAACAGTAACAGAATTTCAGCCACTGCCTTCTAGGCAGCTCTGACATTTCTGTATGTACCGTATTTGCCGGCATATAAGACGACTTTTTTTGCCGTGAAAAACATGCCTCTAAGTGGGGGGGTCATCTTATACACCGGGTGCACTCAAAGCAGGCAGCACGTAGTGCAAGGAGGAAAGAGGAGAGGTGAATGAGGAAGAGGAGGAAGAAGAGTAGGCGGCACCTCTACTCCCGAGGAGGCAGTGGGTAGCTCCGGCTCTCAGGAGCCGCATGCCCAGCAGGACATATGGGTAGGCTGCAAAGGTTTGTATGCCTACCCCATACCTTTAAAGCAGAATGCAAGATGACAGCAAGAATATAACCAGACAGACAGTCCCCACCGGCTCAGTCACTTCCTCAACACAGCTGCCCTCCCAGAAAACAGCAGAAGCAGCGCCACCTCAGTCTTCCCCGTGAGCTACCAAGTCTCCTCGGGAGCCCGGCACAGCGGCAGCGCTAGCGACAAGGGGGGCGGCGCTGGCTTGTTGCAGGCGCCATTTGCTTGCCAGCTTCTCTCTTGCTTGCTTGCTAATCTGTTGCAGCAGGCAAGCAAACAATGCCTGCGACAATCCAGCACTGCCCCGATGCCACGCTCCTGAGGAGACTTCTCTGTTGCAGCAGGCAAGCAAACAACGCCTGCAACAAGCCAGCGCTGCCCTGATGCCGCGCTCCTGAGGAGACTTCCGGAGGCTGGACAAGCAAGCAGGCGCTGGCCTCTGCCACGGGCCAGCTGGTAGCCCGCCCCAGAAACTTGCTTTCCTTTTCCTCCCTCTTTGGCCCCTCCGGCAGGATAAAAGGCAGAGGGAGGGGTAGTCTTATATGGAGAGTATATAATGAATGCTAGATTATGAGTGGAAATGTTGGGGTCGTCTTGTATGCTCAGTCATTTTATACGCCAACTATGTCCACAGAAGGCTAATGAAATCATCAATGGGGAAATCATCAGCAGGGCAGGAGGAAGCAACCAAAAATTGCTGCCACTGGCCATGTCATCCTAGTGTAATTAAAAGTGTTCGTTTTCTAGCCCATGGCTTCCACAGCTTCAACATGATGTGCTTACATGGGAGTCCTGAGACAGATTTATCGAACACAGAGTGTTCAGTTTCTACTGGTAACATCACCAGTTTTCTGGCAGCACAGGATTTCAGCCATAATGGCTACATTCCTTTATATTTCCTTCAAGGTGCTCAGAATAGCCAGACATGCTGCATGCTTACAGTAATACTGGAGGTAAGTTAGGTTGCAAGGAGATGTGTGACTGTCTCTCGGCTGGGGGGTTATCTCAACTTGCACTTCCTGGGTCCAAGTCCAGCACTTTAACCACCGTGCAGTGGGGTCTTGACTTAAGAACGGCTTGAGTTAAGAACATTTTGACTTAAGAACCACTCTCATAGGAAAATATTGACTTGACTTAAGTACTTAGATTTGAGTTAAGAACTGAAAAAAACCCACGTGGGAGGCAGGGAAAGTGCAAAATATGAACTTTCAGTTAACTGTTGGCCAGGGAAAAGGGTGCCTGTCTGCTTCCTCACTCCTCCCAGCGTTTAGAGAGTGGATTGGGAGACAGTCTTCAGACTGCCTGGACTGTATTTTCCCTGCCTTCCCTGAACCTTTCTTGACCTAAGAAAAAAAGAAACAAAATATCCCCCTCTAGTGGTCGAAGGCGGAATAGTAGCTTCCCATTAGTTTCTATGGACGGAAAAGAGCAGATACGGATCAAATGGTTTTCAGTGCATTCCTATGGGAAATGCAGATTTGACCTGAGAACTTTTTGACTTGAGAACCACCTTCCAATACGGATTAAGTTCTCAAGTCAAGACCCCACTGTACTGATCCTCTCTGTGGCATAGAAAACAAAGTGCAGTATATTCTGTGTGGATCTCTACAAGGAGATTTGATGAGAACACACAAGCAAGAAATCACTAGAAAAGGGGAAAGGAAATGTACTGATGATCACAGAATAACTGTACGTATTAGGTTTTTATCCATTTTCCTATAAAAAATGCAAACCTATTGTACACTAGCTGAAATCTACGGAAATGCTTTGGACTAACCTAAGGAACACTTGACTGAATTATGTGCTTAGGAAAACCATTTTTTTTTCAATCCATCTCATCTCTTTAGTTTTCCTGTCTGAGAGGATATAACCAGGCTGTCTGGTTATATTCTTGCTATCATCTTGCATTCTGCTTTGAAGGTATGGGGTAGGCATACAAACCTTTGCAGCCTACCCATATGTTCCTACAGAAGTATATGCTACTCTTTCAACTTTGTAAAAGTTTAGAATATTCAAAGGTCCTGAGTTTTGCTCTCCCAGTCCTTTGTGAGCTATAGATGAGATGAAAGATAACTAAAATGCTTAACCATGGAAGTACTGCAAAGATCAAAAAACCACAATTACCATACAATATCTGCTCCTACCATTTACATTCCATGGGCTTTCTGCCTCATTGTTTCCTAGCTCTCCCAGCCCCCGATGTGTATACAGTGGTGCCTCGCACAATGAGCGCCCCGTAGAGCGATGAATTCGCTCTACGATGTTTTTTCGATCGCAGAGCGATGGCCCCTATAGCCGAAAATCGCACAGCGAAGGTCGGTAAGCGTTTCGCTTACCGACCTTCGCTTTGCGACCCGCCGATCAGCTGTTCGGCGGGTCCAAAATGGCTGCCGGAAGCCCCAAAATGGCCGCGCGCAGCGTTTCCTGCCTTTTTTAAGCTAGGGGAGGGCGCGAAAATGGCTGCCGGCCATTGGAAAAGCATCGCTGTACGGTGAGTAAAGCTGCTATTGGAATGCATTAAACTAAGTTTAATGCATTCCAATGGCTTTTTCCTTCCCGTACAGCGATGCTTTCACACAGCGAGGGTTAATCCGGAACGGATTAACCTCGCAGTGCGAGGCACCACTGTATATTAAAGACCATATATGTATTTTAATATGCATGTAATTTACCAATCTATGAT